GAAAAATATGAACAATTATATAAACTAAAGATAATTTTAATAAATAGTTATTATATAAACATTCTTTAATTATTATGAACTTCAAAAATTATCTATTAAATATATATATAAATATATATGCATGTGTTTTGTGATTTTGTAAAAAACAAATTTTTTGTGTCGATTGGAATTAAGAAATACATAAAAATTGAAGATAAATTTATGTAAGGAGAAAAAAATTTTATATCACATTGTTGCATGTACCAAATATCGCGGCTCCCACCGGAAATCATATCTCATCGCTAGATACGATATTGATATCTTGAAGTAATAAAAACCACCAGCATCCTGTTGTATCTTAAGAATGAAGAAGTTCATATATTTTCGTAGTTTTATTTCTAAACGAAAAATTAACATTAATTGTGCTTTTTATAAATTCTATTTATATTATTGCAAGTTCTTAACAATTATAATGTTTTTAATATTGAAATAGTGCAAATTTAATATGCAATTCGAAAAAAAGAAATTTATCTAGATGTTTTAAAATTATGTTGCTTTATGTATATTTTATAGAATTATGATAAAATTAAAAAAATACGTTATTAGAAACAAAAGCTGCAATCAACTTCCTGTTATTATACATACATTTGATCAGATCTTTACGTCTGGAATTTAAAGTATTGATAGGTTACATTGATATTAAAATGATACTACTATGTGTAGACTTTTTGAAGTAGTGTTGATACTTCTCGGAAAAACTAAGATGGCGTAGATATTCTCTAACCAGTTTCTACATTGTGTGCTTAGGATCCCAACCGAATTCCTAACCGACTGTATCGCGTTCAAATGCGATGAAAAGCGTTGAAAAAAATTTTTATCTCCTTTGAAAGTAATTTTATTTATTTATAAATATATTAAAATAAAAATGTTTTGATTCTTTTAAATGAAAATTGTTTTATCATCAAAACAATTGTCAAAATTTTCATTATATCATGAAAATTAGTTTGTTTACACATTACTTTAATTAGCATAATTAGAATAATTTATTATACAGATATATGTTATTGGCACTGTGAAAGTGCTAATATTAATGCAATTATACGTAAGCAGAATTTCATTCGATAACTATATTGTCGCGTTCTCTTAGTAGATGTTTCAACAGTAGAATTCTTTCAGAGTATTCGTACACGCCCCCTCGAAGCAGCTGCTACATTGTTGCCTTAATCCTGTATCGCCAGTACTTCTAGATACTGGCGACTTCACACACAGTTGCTGTGAAGAGATGACATAAAAGCAAAGCAGTGCTTCTTCATTGTTAATTTGTGTTTAACGCATTCTTTTTTATATATTTAAGATGTATATTTTTTTTATAATATTGCATATATATATATATTATTTTTTTTTTCCTAATAAAAATACTCGTTTTTCGACGGGTAAGGAAGAATGGGTCCATGTGTCGGTTGTGAGGACAGATCAATATTCGTTTCGAGCATTTTTGTATGAATTTTCTTACGAACTCGCTTATTAATGATGCACAGTGAGACGATAGCGAAGCTGCAAAATAACGCGAGAAGGATAACAATACGATTTTTCTTCTGTATGCATAACGATATTCTTATCTAGCTTAATAATGAAAAAGTTTTAGATTGTGATCGTTTATTAAGGTTGAATTTTCAAAGACTTGATGTTAAACACATACAAAATGTGATTTTATATCAATGTCTATTTATCTTATGTTTATGCTTTTTTTTCATCAAAATTGAAAGCCATTGAAACACTTTGTGAGTCGAGAAGAGCAAGGAACGCACTCTCGCATTTCTTTTGTCGTCTACCTTCATGCAAGTCTCTGATCTTGTGGTTACGCGATAATTCTTCTTATCAAAGTTCTAAGAAAAGTATCGGCTGCCACAGAACAATTCGCACTCTCAGCTTCGTCAACTTTATATATGAGCGTACTTCATGCGTTCTATCTGCGTATATACTTGCTCAGCAATAACAATAACAAAATAGCAATAAAATTTGCAGCTCTCTCTGAAAATTTTTCACTTAATAGCTAGATATGTATATTAAAGAAAATATTTCTTATTAAGTTTAATGAAATTTTTTAAATAATTTTAAAGTAAAGAAGAAAATCTGAGAGAGGAAACAATAACATTTTTTTTTACAACATAATGTGCCAATATTAATACAACACTACTATAAATTAAAAAAAAGTTTTTTAATTTATTAATTATTAATGTATTTATGTATTTTTGATTTGTGCGAAACATTTACAATTTTTGAAAAATTAATTGAATTATTAAAATATGTATAGTGATAAAAAGAGAACAGAAGAATTAGTGTTTGTCGTAAAATTTTATTTTTTTATATACACTTTTAATCTTTACGTCTCATTTATTTCTGATAGACGTTTGAACGCATGTAACTTAACTCTCTTAATCTGTGTATTAGGAGTACGCCTCGTCGCATCCTTCGCCTTGTGTTAACGCAATTTAAGTCACGATCGACAAGCAGGTGTATACCAGTATAACTAATCTCATTAATTATTACTCAAAAGGTGAAAAGTGTTGCTTCCTGTTATCATTCAACTTGTAAGCATAGCTTATACTATAAGCTAGTATGTTTCTAATGTAGACTTTTCAACAAGAGATTAGTCGAAAGACTTCAAAGGATTCTGACTTCATAGACGGTTGCTTTAATGTCATTTTAAATCAATTTATTTAAATTTTTAAGTATAAGTATTAAAATTTACTTGGGAATTTGCTATTGTTATTTAGGAACTTGAAGATGTTTATTCGATAAATGTCTTGTTTTAAAAATTTTATTTTTTAAATAAAATTTTTTATTTAATTATTAATTTAATATTTTTAATATTAAATCTATATTGTGTAATATTAAGGTTCTATATTTATAATGGATTCTGATGAATAATATAAATTCTGATAAAAAATGTATAGATTCTCGTATAGATATATACTAACGCGAACTGCGTATAAAATTTTTCTAATTTATATTATTATTGTATTTTTTATATTTAATATTTTAATATTTAATATTTTAATATTTTAATATTTTTTTTTATATTTATTATTTTTTATATTTAATATTTTATCTCAATTTATATTCTTTATTTAATGAATAATTAAGTTATATTATATCTTATATCATTATAATAAACAGGATAATTTTTTAAATTTATACAAATAGAAGTTATGTACATATAAATAAAATATTTGTTAAAAAATTAATCACGTTTAAAGTAAATAAAAAAAAATAGGAAATTTATTAAATTTTCAATTATTTTTTTTGTACTTTTATGTAATAAAATAAATATAGTCACAAGTCGAAATTTTATATTAAATAACCAACTAATTTTCATTATATAATTTTCTATTTTGATATTAACAATTAATAATAATAATCAATCATTAGCGTTTTATTTACAACAATGCAATTATTGTTTCAATGTTCTCGGCACCAATTGTAATTTTTCCTCTTTTTTTTAGGCTAGTCGGACGCTCGCAAATGGCGAGTACTTGCTGCCGTGTCCGAGGTGCAGCTTCCCCTGCCACGTGGACAATGAGAAGAACATCGGTGCCTGCTCGAGGCAGGGTTGTTCCATTGAGTTCTGCATTTCGTGTTCAGCAAAGCCGCACGCGGGCCCGTGCAAGACGCCCTTACTGGCTACCCCGACAAAGCGCAACAACAAACGTCTGATCGTCGGTTCGAGACAGAGCAAACGGAATCTGCGGCGATTATAAATCGATTCCTTTTCCCTCGATCGATCCGCGTCCCGATCGCGAGGAGAAAAGAGCTAGTCTAGTTACAGAGTCCCCGTCGATCCTGTCGAGAGGGAGGTATATTATAGACAAAAATATGTATACCGTACATGATGAAAGTCAAAAGCGATTTTATAGGCTAAATTGAAAGATAAATTCGCATTTTAATGTGATTAATGTTTCGCGCTTAGTTTAGAGCAGAATGAGAGATGTGCTTTTGTTGCGTATTGAGATGAATTCGGTTGCACGCTACGGCACGACACACATCTTCATAGCTTGAAGAATATCTTAAGAGCGTCTTCAAGCGGCATATTAGCTTACGAGGTGGCATAAGCGTATTTAACCGCCATAAATGCCGCTGGTGAATGAATTTTAAGCGCCGTAAAATCCACGAACGCTCTAATTCGTCCCGATTCGTCGTCGACGCTACGAGGGGGGCTGATACCGAAGTATGGCTTAAATCTTCCGAACGACGGCGGTGGACGTGCAACCGAATTCCCTCTCCATCCCTCCTCCTCGTCAATCTTGGGAGCAAATTCCGCCCCGAGCGATGCAACCGAGCGAGAGAACGAGAGGCTGGCGGTCAGGGGGAGAGTACCCCCGGCGAGGCGTGGAGAGAAGAAGAGAGAACGGCGAATATGGGAGAGAAAGGGAGAAATGAGAAGCCATAAAGGCAACGGTCGTAAAACCACGTAAGGTACCGGCGAAACACTTTGCGCCGCCCGGATATTCCGCTTTTTACCGGGCGCTCTCGGCCCCTTAATGAAGACGGGGAGAGAGTCGGCCGGGGCCCGCGCGCGCATTTCTTGCGGCCGGGGCCCGTCCGCAGAAACCGCTCTTTCTCCCTTCCTCCCTCCCTTCCTCTTTCTCTCGCGGGAATCGTAAAACACTGTAACCGCCAGTACGGTCGCGAACTCCGACGTCCGTCGAGATGCGAACGAGATAAATTCTCATCTGTCTATCGGCTTAGTTTGGCTTATTCTTCTTACGTAAATGTTAGAAGCGCAAAGCGAGTTTCTTTTCCTTTGAGCGAACATTTCATTTCCTCTTCGATCCTGTTCAACGAGACATCAGCAGTTTAATAAATTCTTACTTTTGATTATTTAATATTTATATTGGATATTTAATATTGAATTTGCAAAGGAAGGGTGAGAATGGTATGAATTATGATAAAGTCAGACAACTATATCGATAAATCGATGATTCCAATTTTCTATATGTTATATTCATAACATAAATGAAAAAAAAAAAAATAGAATGAGAAATCATATATGCGTTTTTTTTTAACTAACTTAAACATGTCATTCTCAAGCATCATCCTCTCTTTTATATATTGAGTAGATTAAAATTACATTTTATCTAGAATCCGCGTCCTTCTTTCCGAATTTATAAATATCGTAATCTCGTTCGATGACGATCGCTCAATAAGTATCATCGAAAGTGCATAACAATAGATATATGCAAACATACGAAAAAATACAGTGCCACAATAGGAAATAAGAATAACGTTGGAAAAAATAGAGCGTAATGATTATACAGCTTTCAGAAAGGAATTTTATTATCTCGCAATAATATAGATCAGATTTTAATAATTCATATTATTTGATGGATCAATAAGAAAAAAAAATTGTTTTATGCTAGAACGAAGAATTTGAAGAGAACAAGAAGATTCTTTTTGCTCTGTACTTTCCAACGTCAGAATTGAATACCGGTACAAAGAATTCTATTTGTGCCATGATTAAATTTGCGCCATGATAATTGCCATATTTTAAAAGCTGACATAATTATGAGAAAAAAAGAAACGAGCAGGCGTTTCGGCATCTCTCGTCCTCGAGAAAAATTCTCAATAGGTGCCATATTTTATTTCGTTTCGTTTTTCTTTTCGTTTGTGCATCTTTTAATTCAAGCTTCTCTAAGCAATTTTATCTTTTAAAAGTAGCGTTAGTTCATCTTATGTTTGTACTGTTGTTTTTATACCGATGTATGCGAAAAAAGACTGCATGTAAATAACTGAGCGTTATAGTAATATATTTTGTATCTTGTATAAGCGCGCGGCAAAGTCTTATGATCGGTATTTTATTGTGTTTTTGTTAAAAACATGTTTATTATATCATCTGGTATTTCTCTTTTTACAAATTGCTGCGTCTTTAAAAAAAAAATTAACCAGTGAATTTTGCTTTAGCAAATTTATTATTTTTTTTATAATATTGGCTAGGAGAAGATAAATTTTATTATGCGATTTTTTTTTTATTCAAATCCTTATTCGGATTATCGCTCTCTTCTGTTCTCTGAAAGGAAAATAAATGTAGAAAGTCAACAAAATACCAAGTGAGGAAACTATTAATATTATAATTCACGCACATAAATATTGATGATTAGAACCTTTTAAATTGTTTATATCAGATGTTTTTGTATTTTTTTATTATATTATCTAGACCGAAATCATTATTTGATATTTTAATTGCAAGACTCGGATATCATCATTCTATATTATTTCGAAAAAATTCTGTACTAAATTATATTATTTTAATAAAAGAAAATACATTTTTCTTTTCGATATATGATTAAAATTTGCGTAAATTATTAACTAAGATCTGAATAATCAGTTTTTTTATTTATTTCAATATAAGCGATAAATGTTCCCCGTATAATATAACTCGTATAAGCAATATTTCATTTGGTATCTTCAAATATTAATGCATGAGCTTCAATGCTTATGATATTTTGGCAAGAATCCGATGCGTGTTCTTTAGCCTTTAAGCTATATTTGAAAAAAAACAATTTTTTAGCCTTGAGAAAATGATACCAAATAAAGTGCCTCATATGCAATAAGAAAAATATTGATATTTTTATAAAAGTGAATATATTTTAATGTTTAGCATATAAGTTTCGTAATATACTTGTTCGAAGATATACTTCAAAATGCGAGAATGCTCAATACTCTCTTTATATTATTACTATATTTTATACTTGAAGAATTTCGAATTCATACGTTAGAAATGATTTTAGAAAATGCGTTTAGAAATACCGAAGAATTATAACAAATAAGTTAATTGAATGTTGTAAGCCCTCTGAGGGTAGGTTCCTGTATTGTCAATTAAATATAGTATTTTTTCGCATAACTTCGTATGTTTTTTATCCGAAACTAATGATAAAACATACTAATTTTAAGTAAAGAGATATATATATTTCATTATACAATTACATAAATTACAATTTATACAATTTTATACAGCGTGTTTCTATAATTAAAATTTGTATAATCTCGTATAAATTATATATGTCAGAAATTTTCATAATATTTTAAGTATCACGGCTAAAAAAATCATCGTAATTGTTGCTAATGCATATTTCAACAACTTCATCTCGAATAATATTCTGGATTTGATTCCTCGCGCAAGAGGCTTTGGTGCTAATACATCTTTACCGATTGGTTCTCCTTTCATAGAGAATTTTGTTGCTTCTATAATTCTTACGTCAATTATCTTTCCCATATACTCTTGCTTCATGGGAATCAATATCTGCTCGTAGAATTTATTATGACTCACGTAATGCTGTTTATCATGTGATACTTCCGTTACTAACACTTTTTGCATTATTCCTACTTTGTGTCTGTACGGTTCGTACGACTGGAAGAATTCCGATAGCCTCTTGGTCCTTGTTTTCACCTCCTGTGTAGGTACTTTCGGCATCCTAGCAGCAGGTGTGCCTGGCCGGGAGAAAAATTGATTGATAAAGAGACTTGGAAACTTGTACTTTTGACAGAGTGTCATCGTCTCTTCGAAATCTGCCTCCGTTTCCGTGGGAAAGCCGCAAATGATATCCGTGGCGATAGTTAAACCAGGCACCCGCTCGCTCAAGAAGTTCACTACATGCTCGAAATCGGCACGTGTATATTCCCGTTTCATGTCAGCCAACACTTGATCACTGCCGGACTGCACTGGGATGTGTAAGAAGCTATAAACTCTAGGATGTTGCAAAATTTTAGCCATTTCGTCCAGATGCTCCAAGATATATGGTGGATTAGTCATACCAACACGCATCATGCAACCGTCAGGGATCACATCTACTAATTGCCATAACAGTTCTGGCAGACTGGTACCAATATCTCTGCCATAAGCACCTGTATCTTCTGATGTGAGCCACAATTCGCATACACCTTCCTCAAAGGCCTGCTTGGCTCGCTCGACTATCTTCTCTGGTGGATAACTACCCAAATTTCCTCGTGCATGTTTCGTTTTGCAATAAGTGCATTGATTTAAACAACCTGTGTTAATGGCTATAATTTCAATGAGAGGATTCCGTCGCACTTTTGGAAGACTCAGCGAAGCGCCACCCATCTTCTTTCCAGAGTCTTTCTTCTGCTGTAAAAACCTCACTGTATTTCCTTTCAAGGTTTCCTCCACAACCTCCACAACTCGATCGATTTGTTGAACTCCAATTATACTCAGTCCTTGGAGAAAGGAAGATTTTGGGGCACCTTGTGGTACACATCTGTAAAATAGAAATAAAATAGAATTTTGGAACAGCTTAATCCTTAAAAGGAAAAACAAAACAGGCCAAAGAAGTAAAGAGGATAAAAATTCTATAAAAACTAATTTTATTTACACAAAAAGGATAAAATTGATATTTTAATTTTCTTTAGTCATAATAAAAAATGTATAGATATATAAATTAAGTCAAGTAATAAAAAAATACAAAATTAGAGATATGAATAAAAACTTTTTTATAAACGTCATCACAAGTGGCATCAAAGATTACAAGCCACTATTAATAAAATAATTAATTCTTCCCTGCTTTATTGCCGTAATATTAACTATATGTACCCAGCTACGACAACATGCTTGCCGTTCTTCTTCCCATATTCGATTTCATTTCTAAATTGATCCTCAGCGGGACTCTTGACAGTACATGAATTCAGGAGCCATAGATCTGCTTTTAGCTTATCGTCAGTTAAATTATAACCGTACGCTGCCAGCTGACCGGCCATGTATTCGGTGTCCGAACTGTTGTGCGTACATCCCCACGTTTTCACGTAGATCGTCTGCGTACCGGGTATTATGCTTGTCAAAATAGGCGGTTGCGACACTTCCTCCTGTATTTGCTTTTTTCGCTTCGGCCGTATTGTAATATGTTTTCGCGAACTATATCTCTCTTTAGGCGTTATATCCTGCGACGTGATTAAATCCTCGATGTCCTCAATAATATCTTCGCATGGAGCAGGCATGTTTGCCGAGTATAAAAATGATCTCTAACAGACTATTTGCCACGATCTTGAGACATGTCACGAAATGGTTTGAGGTTAGGTGCACGTGTTCCTTAAATATACACACTAAATCTAATGCAAACTGTTGTCGAAATTCACAAAGAATTGCGACAAATAATAGGAATATGCCGTTACATTAATCAATTATCACTTATTTCAAATATAAATATAAAAATATTTTAAAAAACAAAATTGGATTAAGTTAGATTGAATCAAGTTACTGAAAGAAATTTTAATATATGAGCTGCCATCTATATATATTATTGTCAATTATAAATCAAAAATAATTTGGAATCTTATCAGGAATTATATAAATATATTTATAAAATATATTTATAAAAAAACTAAATTTTTCTAAACATTATTTAGATTAAATTTTAATTATCAATTAATCCCACTTTCATCTGATCTGATTTTTTTTATTAGCATTATTTCATTATTTTTTAAGAATTTAAATTTTAGATTGATTCTGTGTAACAATAATTCAAAAAGCAAAACTTATTGTTACGTATTATACAAGATGTTTAATTAAATAAATATCATCAAATCAATATCAATATAAGATGTTTAAAAAAATTAGAGAATTTTTTATATTATAATGTATTGTGAATTCATAAACAAAAACCAATGTGAAACTGTATGTTTGATATTAAAAAACAGAATGGGTTATGCTTCATGTGACAAATTGAAAACCCATACGAATTTATGTAATATATGAATATATACATGAAGAATATATACATAGTTTATATATACCTTATACATGAAATTTTTAATAATACTCTTAATTTCGCGAACTTACGTAATGAATATTTTTAATAACTTATATTCTTTGGCATTTAATAACTTATATTCTTTGGCAATCTAATATAATCACCGGTTTAACTCATTACATACAGCGTAATTTTTTTCAATTAATCTGAATTGCATTTGTTTAATTAAAATGAATAAAACTATGCGAATGCTTTTGTCTCGGAATGTTAACAAATTAAGTTTTTTAATTAAATCAATTAAAATTTAGATCTTTGATAATAAAATTAGTTATTAATAATCAAATTGTTAGAGGATAATGATCTATATTTACACAAAAACTTTCTATATTTACAAATTTATTTTGTCCAATTTTATTAAATATACCGTTTATTAAAAGTTGAATAAGTTAGAAAGAATTAAAGACTCAGCGAAACATAGAGATATTTTGATCGCCATCAGATTACGCTAGTAAATATTATTGTTTAGGATTATATCGACTAAATCATGTTTCTCATTTTTATATAACTCATTTCCGAGACCAATTTGAATCAAATCGTTGGGGATTGTCATCGATTTCGGAGGTCTCCTTCGGACTCTTTCTATTAATTTTCATCTAGTGGGATCTTTATTTCTGAAAATTAATCATTTCTGGTAAATAATATTTGGATTTGTTTTAAATAGGTTTGATCATAATTACTCTCATATAATAAGAATTTTTAATTTAAAATTTTTAGAGAATTAAGTTTTTAAAGAACAGTATACATATATCTAATAATATATTTACATTAATATTACATTGACAATATTACATGTGACAATATTTAATGTTATTAAATAGCTTTAATGTATTTAAAACCTACATTATGTATTTTTAAACTTACTAGTTTTACTTATGTTAATTTTACATAATATTTTACTATTTAAAACAATATCTGTTATCTGTTTATAATCTACTTTTTTATATATGTAAAAAGAATATAATTATTGTGATATATATATATATATATATATATATATATATATATATATATATATATATCGAGAACATGTGTTTACGAAATTAATTTTTTTAATTTACCGCAAAATGATTCTTTATCTTTTAATGTTGAAATTTTAATGTGGTTTTTATGTAATATTTAAATAACGAAACGATAACGATAAACAAAGAAGTTCTTATTTCGTAATCGGTAAGTTGATTGCTTTAAAAAAGATAATTTCTGAATTAACGATTTAAATATTTAATTGATGATAACAACTTCAGGTCTGCACAAATACTTTATCTTTAATATTTTGAAATAGATGTAGTGTTTTGTATAAATTTTAGACATTATAGATAAATAATCAAAATGTAATATGAAAATGTAAATGTAATATTCTATATAATTACATGTAATCATCACATTTATGTATTATATCGTAATTTAAAGATATTAAGTTGTAATATTTGCGAAAAAACATAAAAATACGTACAAGAAAATTATGTAATTATATATAAAGTCTCATAAATATTCTTACATATTTTATTTGTTGCTTATTTTGTTTAAAAAGAAATAATTATGTCCGAATAAAAATTGAGAATTATAAATAATCCGGAAAATAGGAAGCGATGAAAAAATTTTAGCACTTATCTTTTTATTCGAATATAAGCATTTACAAATTTATTGATAAAATGCTATTTTATAAATGCTATTTTGCAATAAAATGTATATCATATGTTTTTATATATATATATTATATGATTGTTACGCTTGATATGCTTTTTTTACAAACTTTACATCTTGTTATTTTTGAATCCTGATACATAAATTTGGCAATATTAGATCTATTTTTAATGTCCAAAAATCTACATCTAATCTCATTTCAGGGTCAGATTAAAATATTTATTTTGTATATGTGTTATTGATAATTAATATAAAAGTGATACGTAATATTATAATCTCGAAGAATATTTACAATTAAATTATTACAAAATTTGTTTATATATAGTCATCATGTGGTGGATAATAATATTATGTGTCGTGGCCAAAAGTATACATGCAGTTGACAAGGCTATTTACGAAAATTACAAGCTCTTTAGCGTGATTCCAAGAAACGAATCGCAATTAGACTTACTTAAATTGTTGAGAAATACTAATAACATTGGCGTAAGTAAAAATCATTTAGATAAACATATGCAGATATTTTCTTTGTACGCAGATATTTTTTTTTAATCAAAAAATAATATTATTTGATCATTTTTTTTAATAAAAAAATAATATTATTTGATCATTCGATCATATTATTTGATTTCATTTGATCATATTATTTCAGTTATATCAGTTAATAGTTTATATTCGGAATAGTAATAGTTATTCATATTTATATTATTTTATATTTTATCTTTCTGAAATTAATGAAAATCAATTTTATAAATATTTGGAAATATTTGAAATAACTTATTGATAAAATGCTAAAATTACACGTGAGAATATAATTAAAAAATATCTGATATAATTTCACAGTATACTTGAGATTAAATTTTAATTAAACGAAATTACGGAACTGAATTTTGTTTATAGGTTTCCTTCTGGAGAGAACCATCTGTAATGAATAGAGAAATAGATATTATGGTACCTCCGCACAAATTATCCGACTTATCCGAAATTTTAGGCAAGATCGGTGCACCTTATGATATCAAAATCCATAATATTCAGAAACTCATTGATAATACTATGCTTACAAATCAATCGAATGGTTTTGATTTTACAAATTATCACACTCTCGAAGATATCTACGATTATTTGGAAAATCTAACCAAGTTATATCCCAAGAAAGTAGAGATTATCGTAGGTGGCACAACATTTGAAGGGCGCGAAATCAGAGGCGTAAAGGTAACTTTTCACGAAGAAAATCCCGGAGTTTTCATCGAGGGTGGTATTCATGCCAGAGAATGGATTGCGACGTCGACTGTCCTATATATTTTGGATCAGTTGCTGACTAGCAATGATAGTGAAGTGAGACGCATAGCTGAAAGTCATAATTGGTACATTTTTCCATCATTTAATCCGGATGGCTATGTATTCACGCATACTCAAGTAAGATTAATTTCGCACAGCAATATTACACAGCATCATTTAAAATTTTCATCATTTAAATTTAAATTATATCATTTAAATTTTTTGCATAAATAAGTTTTTTTTTAATAACTTTTAGGATCGACTATGGAAAAAAACTCTCAAACCGTCTAGTCCTTTCTGCATCGGGTCAGATCCTAATAGAAACTGGGGTTTCGAATGGAATAGTAAGTATTCGGAAAACAGAAGAGTGTAATAAAGAGTATAATACAGAAAAAGATTGTAAAACAAAAATCTAGATTATTTTGAGAGATGAAAAGTTTGTGAGATTAAAATTTATCTGTAATATTGTAATTTTAATATTCTCAGCTAGCGGAACGAATAATGATCCATGCTCCGAAATGTATCCTGGAAGTAAGCCATTCTCCGAAATAGAGATGAAAAGTTTATCCGAATATATATGGTCCAATCTTGACAATTTCTACGTTTATATCGCATTCCATAGCTTTTCGCAATTATTACTCTTTCCTTATGGCTACAGGGAAGAATGTATGTTCTTTCATGAAGATTTGGTAAGAAATCTTGAAAGAAAATGTTGAAAGAAAACGTTTTCTTTGAGAAGCATTTAATAAATAAAAAATGTAATAAAAAAAATAATTTAATAAAAAAAAAAATAAATGTTTTGGAAACTCAGATTACATAACTATTTTCATATTATCTATTTATGTTAATGAGATAATGCTGATTATATTTAATAAGCCTTTATTTTTATTCTATTACATATTTTTTTATATCATTATTATTTAATCGCATATCGCTTTAATTCTAAACATTGTTTTATATAACTTTTCGTATTAAATGCATTCTTTCTCTCTTTAAAATGCGAACTTCCATAAATTAAAATAACATATTGTTTACACATTTAATATGATCAAGTATTGTAACAAAAATAAATGTAATATTTATAATTTTAGTTTCGTGTAGGCCGGATAGCAATCGAAGCTCTTAAAAAGAGACATGGTACCCAATATGCAGTTGGATGTTTTAATGAACTCTACAGTATGTAAACGTTTAATTATTCAAAATAACTCTATTATATTATATTTCTTGTTTTT